TTTTTCACACCCCCGACGCTCAACAATCATCCCACGCTCCACACGCACAGCCTTATTTTTCACCCACTCTGTTTTCCTATTTTTTTTCCTTTTTTTTCCTTGGCTGTCATTGTTCCCGCCGGCATCCACCCGCAAACAAGGGGTACAAAGGCCTCGCGCTTATTACTCTGCCCTCGGTTAATTAACCCCCTCTTTTTTTTTTCTTCGTCGAAAAACTCCCATCTGAGAAAATTCCTAGTCCCTCGAGATGTGATGTTTGTATTTGTTAGTAGCTCTGTTGTTATAAGTACTTGTATGTGATGCAAAGTACATGCATGAAACTACTAGCTACTTTTTTTTTTTTCAATGCACGATTTTATGCTGTCGAGAACGTGCACCCACGCAAAGGCTTCAAGGCCACGACTGGAGGAGAAAAATCGATCCCCTCGGAGTAAGATAGCGCACACGCCTATGGAGTAACCACTCGGTTCTTCCTTTTTCTTTCTTTTTTTTTTTTTTTTTCAAAGCCGTGCAAGTCGAGCTATCATCGCTACCCGGGAGTTCCGTGCATTTCTGAAAAGAAGAGGAAAGTCGAAGGAGAGAAAGAGAGAGAATGTTTGCGAGCGTGTTTCTCTCGATGCACCCACTCCAGGCCAACTGTACAGATCCCATTGTGCGGAGGATTTTCATCTCCGCTCTCTGCGCGGGATGTATTATGTACGTGTGTTTGTCCGAGCAGACGCGGAGGTATATATAATTTGCTTTCCCATTGAAACTCCGCGCTGAGCTGGAGGTCCGGTGGCTGGGAGAGATAGTATATATATACGTGTATACACGATGGGGAGATAAAGACTGAGCAATTTAAGGGGGGAGGTAGCGTCTTCTTTTCACCAAACTTGGGGCTGGAACATTAAAGATCGGGACCATAGTCCTGGATAAAAGAGATACGAGGGAGTGCTTTCGAAATCTCGAAAGTTGCCGCTAAACAAGTGTCAGCTGAGTATTTGGTTTTGATTGGCCATCGGTTATTCGAGAGCATATGTAAGTTGTTGAGTTTGGTTCTGATGAATGATTATTGAAAGGGAAAAAAATTTGGAGGATTTTCTTTTTTCTTTCAACAAATTAATAATTTGTTACTTCCAAATGTTTTAAAACAGCGGATTTTTTTAGACACGGGTATTACGCACGAAATGATGTTTATAAAATGGTTTTTGTCATTAAGGAGAGTAACACATTAAAAAACGTGAATTGCAATGTATGCTGAAAATATGAAAATTTTGCAAGCTAAATGAAAATCAAAAATCCGTGGTGTAACCATTTTTTCCGAAATCATTGAGTATACGTAAATATGTTGAAAATTGAGTGAAGTCTGTAGCTCTCGAGTGATTCATAAGTAACTGATGAAAAAACTTGTTTGCCATTCGTAAAATTTTTGAAAATGGGAAAGGGAAAAAAAAATGAAAGAACCAACGAGTTCGGTGGAGGGAGAAAGAGGGAGCGGTAATAAGCAAAGGGCCGCGGGCCATCTCCGCGAAAAAGGAGGATTATAGCCCGACTCCCAAAAAACAGGCCCTTCACACCAATCCCCTGCGATGTCTCCCGAGGGCGAGAGGGTATATCTGCTCTGCTCTTTCGCGGCTCGATTCACCCGTCACGTACATAGATGAGCTCCCGCGTCTCTATCCGAACCCCCAACAGCAGAGACGCTCCTCCCGACCTGTATCTTCCTCGGGTTTTTCTTTCGACTGACGCGCCCGACGTCCGGAAATGGAAAATTCGGCTGAGCCTCCCCACGCATACCCATAGCTTGACGCGTCTCTGTATGTTTACGTGCATGTGTCGAATACTACCACCCGTTTCGATTTCGAACGTATACCCGCGAAGATGTTTTTCGCGCCCTATTTGTCGGCTGGGGGTGAAAGGGCTCGATGGTTTTTCTCCCGCCGGGGTGAGACGAATTTTGGAAACGACCCTTAAGTACATCACTGCTGTTGCTTCCCGATCAGCCGCAAATCAACCAATTCGTCGAACATTCTATGAAAAAAAGAAAAAATACTATCGCGTGCCAAAAAAAACTATCGGTCAAGTTTTTTATTTTAAAGTATTCGAATTAAGGTATACAAACGCTTTGTCTAATTCCCCCCCCCCCCTAAATTGTTCTTTCTTTCTTTTTTAATTTGAATTTCTTTTTGGTACAAATAATGAACCACATTCTTAGCAAAAAAAGTATTTTAAAAGTCGCGCTGTACCGATCGTTCGAAAAGTCACAAAATGCGTCCAGGTGTAGCCCGAGACCAGATACTTGGACCTGATGTATATCAAAATGAGTCGACATTATTTCGGGCGAAGAAGCACAGCCAGTCTGATTTATGGATGAAGCATACGTCGCTCGATATGTATCTCTTTTTGTTAGACGACGATTTTGGCCTTCGTACCTATACATTATGTATACATACATATCCCGCGCGCACGTGCTTGATCCATAAATATCAAACGCTACGCGTCCCTTTTTTTAACAATAAATCGATAGATTCACGCACGTAAGTATCATGCACGTCTACGTAAACGCGACGTTTTGCAATGTCTTCTGGGGTATATCAGTTTTGGTTTCAAATATACAGTCAAGCGTGTAATACTCTCTATTGTATCGATTGATTGGCACTTTGACGCTTTGGTGTATAAGTAAACACACACACGCACACGTATACATTTGCACCCAAGGAGGAAATCAAGACGGTCGTATATATATATACACAGGATTGTATGCATTACAGCGTGGAGCTTTGTGCGTCTCAAAGGACTATTATATGCTTACTCTGCTCAAGGGATTATTATTGCCTCCTCGATCAACCGACTGACAGTATTGCAAATGTATTCTATTCCTGTTTCAGTAGAATGTTTATTACAAGGATACACTTGATACAAAAACATAATCCTCGTTCCATTCAATATTTTTGTTCACAGTTATACGTTTTTGAAAAAAAATTTTTACCAATTTATTGAAAAAATATGAATTTCATGGAATGAAACATTTTTTCCAAACACCTAATTTTTTTTTTTTTTTTTTGTATTTCAAAGAAATTGGGCGATCAGTGATAGGATCAGTGATAGTTGCACCAAAAACCATTTTATTTTTGTTGACAACGACGTAATTAGTTGTTGAAAGTATTTATCGCTCAATTTTGCCGTATACATTTCGTTATTTTACAAACAATTTGATCCCCAATATATTACGGATGCCCGTGATGATTGTACAACGAGCGAAACGCACATCGGATATATTGTAATTAATGCACCCCTCCTCGATTAATTATTCCGATCAATCGCGCTCAACAACAATCGAGCCTTAAGGGAAAACTTGATGATAATCATAGCGTTTGGCTGTTTGGTGAAATTCCCAGGTTTTGCCAAACGGAGTTTAGCCATAACAATAATAGTTTTTTGTTTCTCTCTTCATCTCGTGCTTGTATCGAAAAACCAAGTGACCCAGAAAATATTTGCAAACTCGTGAATAACAAACAAAAAACCGTCCATACGTACGCACGTGCCGCTTAAAATATTAACCCGCGCGTACTTTAGACGTGTACCTTTACCAAACGCGCTCACGTAGCTTCAATGAATATTTCAACTTTATCCCATGGCACTGGGCGCAGTATTACGAATACATACAAAAGCTCGAGGGAGACTTTGCCGCGGAAAAGTCATTCGAAAATGTGTATGTACCAACTTTTTTTTTTTTTTTTTTTTCGTCGCTCACGCGGACTAGATAGCAAAAAAAGTTGGACTTCCTCCTCCTCCTCGCACTGCGTCAAAGACCGATTTATCTTTTTCTCTAATTTATTTCCATGCGTGCTCTAGCTAAAAAAACAAAAACTTCTCCCTTAAACGAAAAAAAAAAAAAGATAAAATCCACAATCATCGATTGAATGTTATCATAGAGGAAAAATTGTGAGTGAGGAAAAAAAGGTCTGTTCGCCCAACCAGGAAAATATTCATCTCGAGCGAAAACTCATAACCGCGTGCGGCTGGTATTCACTCGAGCAGGTATCTCACGCTGCATTAATGACGGAAGAGGTGTATTCGCTCTGAGCCGATACAGAGGTTGCGCCCCCTCTAGCCAAAATCAGGCAACATTTCTTGCATGTAAACAAATGGTTTAGAATATATATACATACGTACAGCTGCTTGTGATTGGCACTTGGTAAGCTAGAGAGAGAACGACGATCCTCTCCTGCTGTCTTATTCAGCCAATCACAAGCAGCTATACGTATGTATATATGTTCTAAACCGTTTGTTTACATGCAAGAAATGTTGCCTGATTTTGGCTAGAGGGGGCGCAACCTCTGTATCGGCTCGGAGCGAATAACACGGCCATTTTTTCGATCTCCTCTGAGTTTGCTGAATTTTTATTTTTTTTCTTCTTTTTTGAACTTGGGGGCCTTATTGACGGTATATACTTCTTTGTCGAGGTTCTTAGCTACACTGCACAAATGATTTCAATTGCTGTGTTTATGTATTTATGTTTCTATTCATGGAAATAATAATAAAAAAAAAAAAAGTTTACAAGTTGCTGAATGTTTGTTCCTCGTCCTTGCAAGCTCTCGAGGGATTCGCTCGGCGACTCATTTGAAAGTGAGTTTATCTACGTCTACTGCAGCTGTGTACGATTCGGGAAAAAAATTTTTATTTACGCCCTGCTTCTTCGCGCAAATTATCAAACTTTTCCTACAGATAAATATTTTTTTTATCGACGTGTCCTTCTACTTGACATACTGTTACCAAAAAAAAAAAAAAAAAAAAAAAAATTAAAGAAGTCAAAATTTTAAATGTTGTCCTGTTGTTTCGGAGTTTGATTACTTTAAAGCTCAGGAAAGAGAGTGGCTCGTGGGAGCTATGTTATTTCTGTCTGTTAGCTGTCCGATAAACTCGGTGCATTAAGCTCGAGTAGAGTTTTTGTTTTTGCACAAATTTTGAGTAATGGCATCTCTGCTGTAGCATCTGNCACTGAAATGGTTTCTCACCAGAATGGATCCGCATGTGAATTTTAAGATGGCCTTTTTGGCTGAACTTTTCGGGACACAAATCACACTGATATGGTTTTTCACCGGAATGGATGCGCATGTGAATTTTAAGATGGCCTTTTTGGCTGAACTTTTGGAGACACAAATCGCACTGATATGGTTTCTCTCTAGAATGGATCCGCATGTGAATTTTAAGATGGCTTTTTTGGTTAAACTTTTGGGGACACAAATCACACTGATATGGTTTTTCACCGGAATGGATGCGCATGTGAATTTTAAGATGGCCTTTTTGGCTGAACTTTTGGGGACACAAATCGCACTGATGTGGTTTCTCACCAGAATGGATCCGCATGTGTTTTTTAAGGCTGCAGTTCTGACTGAACTTTTTGGAACACAAATCGCACTGATATGGTTTCTCACCAGAATGGATTCGCATGTGCCTTGCGAGTTCATCATTTGTAGTAAAAGCTCGTGAACAAATCGAGCACTGAAATGGTTTCTCACCAGAATGGATCCGCATGTGATTTTGAAGGTTACAGTTATGGTTAAACTTTTGGGGACACAAATCGCACTGATGTGGTTTTTCACCAGAATGGATCCGCATGTGAATTTTAAGATTGCCTTTTTGGCTGAACTTTTGGGGACACAAATCACACTGATATGGTTTCTCACCAGAATGGATCCGCATGTGATTTTGAAGGTTACTGTTATGGTTAAACTTTTGGGGACACAAATCGCACTGATGTGGTTTTTCACCAGAATGGATCCGCATGTGAATTTTAAGATTGCCTTTTTGGCTGAACTTTTGGGGACACAAATCACACTGATATGGTTTCTCACCAGAATGGATCCGCATGTGATTTTGAAGGTTACTGTTATGGTTAAACTTTTGGGGACACAAATCGCACTGATGTGGTTTTTCACCAGAATGGATCCGCATGTGAATTTTAAGATTGCCTTTTTGGCTGAACTTTTGGGGACACAAATCACACTGATATGGTTTCTCACCAGAATGGATCCGCATGTGATTTTGAAGGTTACTGTTATGGTTAAACTTTTGGGGACACAAATCGCACTGATGTGGTTTTTCACCAGAATGGATCCGCATGTGAATTTTAAGATTGCCTTTTTGGCTGAACTTTTGGGGACACAAATCACACTGATATGGTTT